CAAAATTATTAATTTTATCTAGTATATTCTCTATTTCTAATGGCTTTTTTAAATTACTTCTATATCATTTTTAAAGGATACTATATTTTTGTTGAGGTTGTTTCTTGAGCATCCTTAAAACAATTGTTTTAAACTCTGTATCTGGTAGATTCGTTACCTACTTTTTTCTGAAATTTTCTTATGTTTTTTTCATTTGAAAGATATTTATTTGTCTCCTCATTTTGGCTGCCTCTTGGTGCTTGCTTCTATGTATTAGGTAGGTCTCCTGTCTCCCAGTGTTTGCCGGGTGGTCTTATATAGGAAGTGACCTTGCACCTAGTGGCACAGTTTCCCTGACTACCTGACAGTGGGGCCAGAAGGGGCTGCAGACAGATATGCTGTTCGTGTTGCCGGTGTGAGAAATTCACTCCAGACAATAATATTTCTTTCTCTGAGTTGGAAACACACTCTAACTGCCGGAAACCAATCATTGTCTCACTAATAGAAAGAGGCTGGTCAACCTTAAAGCTCTGAAAGGTCAGAGCCAACCATACCCTATCTAATTGAGACAATAGTAACTGAGGCAACTTCCCCATCTTATAATCATGTAAATCCTTACTGATATGATAATCCGCTTATTATCTGCCTAAGGGCTATGGGTGTTTCCCAAAGCTGCTTAAGGGTAATGGGTATATCCCATAGCAGCCTCAATAAAAGGGATAACAAGGCTAGAGCCTAGAGAGTCTTTCCACTAGAGGTTGACTCCTGTCTGGCTCCCCATTTGTCCCAAATTAACTCTTTTCTAGTCTCTCTCTTCATTTTAGTAAGTGGCCTCCTCCAGAAATCAGACCCTGAGTGGGCCCTAATCACGCGGGTCGTGTTAAGGGTTCCCACATCTAATCCTGAAGTGTGTGTGGTGGTGTTTTCTTCCTGCCCCGACCAGCCACAGGAAAGGCTGAACACCTGTGTGTCAGTGAGCACTGTGCTGTCTACAGCTGACCTCGGCGCCTGGCTGTATAACTCGTGCCCTGACCAGTAAATAAACCATGAAGACATAGGGGAAATCTTTGCTGGAGGACAGCAATCACCAACCTTTTGGACCTTTCGGACCACCAGTTGGCGACCGCTGTGCTCAGATGTCAAATCATCCAAATTTATGTGAAGTCTTTCAATGGCTCCTAAACCATAGAGGTTGTCCAAGATAAATGGGATGAATGAAGCTCTTCTGTTTATCATATGACAAAACAAATACCAGAAAAGGAAAGCAATTAAAAAAAAAAAACCTAATCAGATTATAGTCCATTATCCATATACTAAAACCCCCTTCCCCTTAAGAAACCACTGTCTATTTTTGTCCAATTTGACACCAGTTATTGCTCAGAAGGACTCCCTCATTCAGAGTGGTGAGAGCAGATGTTTTAAAAGGAGAAGCCACCCAGTAATGGTTCTCCTATGATCTGTGTCTCAGAATGTCTGATCCCTGTAATTCCTGGACAGCCCTTCTCTCCTCCTGCTAGGAGGGGAGAGAAGGGAGGCTGTCCTTAATTGTTGTTTTGTTTGATTTATTAAATTCAGGGTCATTATCTAGAATGGGGTAATCTCATTAGAAATTAGACTGCTTTATTATTTCTTGGGATGGGGTTAATTTCATATTTGCAGAGTCATATAGTAAAGAGTTCAAAATCCAATTACAAAGGCTTAATTTCATAGCAACTAGAGAGAAACATTTCTATCATAAAGGGAAATAAATACCGTGCTACTTCAGGAAACAATTTGTCAGGAACTGGGGGCCCAGAAGAAGGGTCTCCATTACTGTCAGTCAACCTTGCGTGACAATGTATCACCATGGCGGGCGAGTCTGGGCAGCGAGCAAATTTAATCAGCCGAAGTCAGAGTAATCAGGCTCGGGCTGACACGTTTCAGGAAAGGTCAGCATTAAGCCCATTTTCTCCTCCTTAACTCAGTTACCGTGTCATCGTCTCTGAGTTAGTATTCCTCCAGCTTGAATCTATAAAATGGATGTCTGCTGCAAAGCGCTAACTACGTTAGGACTAACAGGATTTATTTCACATTCTATTATTTGTTCTTCCTCATAATTTTCCATGTGTCATGCTGGAAGATTGGTGAGGTAATGTGATTAAGCTCAGACTTGAGCAGCTAAATGTATATTAGCAAATCAATCTGAATTTGTACATAACCCAATCATGGCTCCACCTGCTGTGGAGGGAAATTCATTTGCTTACATTATCTTTAACGCAGTTACCATTTGCCAGAATTCGGCGGTGCGATCACACGCGCTCCAGTATTGGTATGGAGGTGCCACTGGGTTTCAGCAACAACTGCCCAAAGTGGGTGTTTCCGGAGGGTTTTCTCCTCGGAGCAGCTGGCAGATTCTGCCTCAGGAGATGGAGGCAGGGGTGATGCCTGATGGGAGTGCACTTCAGAGAAGACCTTCCTGGGGGGTCGGGTCCTGCCTTCCAGGTCCCCCAACTCCATGTACCCCCTCATCGACATGTGACCTGTTTGGCAGGCACGTGCTCTGGCAGCGTCCCCTCACTACTTCTGAAAAGGGCCTCTGGCAGAGAGCTCATTGTCCCCTCTGTTTCTGAAGCTCCAATGGGTCCCAGATGATGTGGGAGAAAGGCAAACCCCACAGCAGATTTCAGCAAAAGTTGGGTCAGCACTCACATGACTCCATGGTGGCTGCATCTGGAACACTCTGGGGCCCAGCCCTCCCCACCATTCCCGGGAAAGGCAGGATGTTGCCAGCTCCTGGGAGGGTAGTGGCAGCTCCAGGCGCCCCGTGATCACCCCGCAGCGGCTGGCGCCCAGGAGAAGGGAGCATTGGCCCCAGAGTGACGTTAAAACAGCTCGCACAGAGCTGTCGCTGACGACTCTCCTGACAGTGCGACGCTGCCATGATATTGTGTCTGTAAAACACCATAATGGCTTTGCGTTGGCAATTCCAGAAACCAGTCCCAGTGCCCAGGAGGCACTCCAATGGGCACCTCTGGGCAGGAGATGATACGAGAGGAACTTCCCATGAGCAAGGCAGAGCTCTCTGCAACTCACCCAGCACTCAGACTCTGAGCAAAGTAAGACCCAAACGTCCTCCTCTTAGCCCTCCTGCCTGCCTGTGTGTGTCCGACACAAACAGAGATTGGGCCGCTCCCAGCAGAGCGCAGGCCTGGCTGCGGGGCCGGCCGCCCTGTCCCTGCACAGTGAGGCGTGTGAAGGCAGCTGCACACACCTGAGAAAGGACTCAGCAAGCAGCGTGGCACGGAGCAGAGGCACCGGTTTTAAGTCACTCGGCTTAGGTTCAAACTCCACGGTGCCATTGAGTATGAGAGGCTCTCAGACGTGTGTCTGCGGGAACATGACAAGGGGCCCATGTGAAGGAGGACCCTCCCAGCTGTACAGCATCACCAGTCTTGAGCCCTGGCTCCACTCTCTCCCTGACACACCCCTTGCGCCCCCCATTTCACATCACCACCAGGCACTGGTATCTGCCAAATGGCACTGCACTTTCATTCTGCTTTGATAGAAGTCGTCTCCAATGGTTTTTGGCCCTGGGACTAAATCGCCCTCTAGCTTCTTGTCACCTGTGAGCTACAGGGAAGGCCTGGGCATGTGTCCCCTTTAGGGGAGCCTCTCCTGAGCTCAGGCCACATCCTTCCTCAGTGTCTGACGCTGGCCCTGCAGAGGCCACGGGTGAGACAAGCTCACTCACTCCCTGCGTGTTTGGCCATTGATCAGTAAGGCTGATGGGTTTTCTAAGAGTAACTTCATTTTTTTAAATTCACCAGTCCTCCTTTCTGTCATCACACGAGCATGTATTTCACATGGGGCTGTGCTGTCCAATGGGGTGTGCTCCTAAAACATGAGCATGTGTTTTACACAGAGTCATGTTGTCCCATACGCTGTGTTACTAACACGAACATGTACTTCACATGAGGTTGTGCTGTCCACTGTGGTGTGTTCTTGACACACGAGCATATATTTTATGAGGTTGTGCTGTCTGTCCAGTGTGGCATGTTACTGACATGAGTGTGTATTTTATATGAGGTTGTGCTGTCCGGTGTGGCGTGTTACTGACACAGGAGCATGTATTTTATGAGGTTGTATGCAAATGTTTGAGAGGTTCCGAGCTCAGCCTCCTGGGACATTTGCTTTTTTGTCTGCTCTTCCCGTAAGCAGCATGTAAAAAAAGATTTTTTTAAAGGCATAGCCCACAAAGATGAGAGACATAAAAGCAGGAACAGCCACTGAACAGTAAAGGCTGTGACATTGATTATTGTCTTTAACGCTTTAAAGACATTGGATGGTGACAAAATACCCCAGAGGAACAGCATGCACTCCTCTCTGCTGCCCAGAGCCACCCCTGGTTCTACCTCCCTGCGCCCTCTGCCACCGTGTTCACTCTGCTTCCTTTCGCAGCTCAGGCTCCCCTGTGCGCCCCCTGGAGTGTGGCAGCAGCTCCGGGTGTGAGGGCTGTGGCCCCTGGACGCTGTCACAGGCTCTGCCTCGGTCCCAGGGCCTGCCAGAGGCGCCCTGAATGCTGGCGAGGCACCGCGACAGCTGCTGGCCACCGCTGATCGGGGTTCCACTCCCTTGGGACAGGGCTGCCGGGAAGCAGCTGCCACCAGAGCCTACATCTCCTGGCCTGCCGGTGGCCACGGGGAGGCTGCTCACGGGTCTGCCCGGAGAACCTGGCCAGAAGCTCCCTGCACCGCACTGCGCTAGGCCTGCAGGACGCACTGCGATTCTCCACGGCCCAGGCCTTCGTCTGTGGCCGGATTCGATGCCCCAGGGCACTGTCCCCCGATGACACCCTTCCAGTCCCTGATTGGGCCACATAAGAAAGAAATGTCTGATGCATCCGCTATGAGGGTGGGATTATTTGCTGCTGCGGCTGCCCCCCTCCCCCTACGTGTAACACAGTGGCCACCTGACTGACGAATGCATGGCAGTGTGGCCACCTGCTGCCTGTCGTGGGAAGCCCCGCACAGAGAGGACGTCACCTTCAGGAGGTCCAGCTTCAGCGGCAGCTCCCCCTGCGTGGACGAGCACAGGGCACCCACGATGATGCTCATGTACTCCTCGGCGTTGATGGCGGAGAGCTGCTCCAGGATGCTGAGGGCCGCGCCCCGGTACCACTCGTCGTCCAGGAAGATCTTGACGAAGGGCACCATGCCGTGGTCCTTCAGGACAACTGGAGGCCGGACAGACAGACAGGCAGCATGACGGGCCTGGCACCACAGTCCCCATAACAAGGACAGCTTTGCCTTACGGCCCACAAGTTCGTTTTTGCTACGTTTTTATGAGTCTCTTTTGCCCATTAGAAAGTTTATTTTCAAAATCTATACCCACTGTTAAAAGCAGAAGAGGAAAGGAGAAACTGCTCAGCTGAGAATTAAAAAGAAAAACTTTTTTCTCCAGTCAGAATTCAGTTTGGGGGTTAAAAAATATATATATATATTTTTTAAATTTAGAAACCTAAGTAATATAAAGTTTAACTAGATGTACCTCTGCCCTTTATCCATACACTAGAGGCCCGGAGCACGACATTCCTGCACTGGGGAAGAGGGGCCCCTCAGCCCAGCCTGTGCCCTCTCACAGTCCAGGACCCCTCGGGGGATCTCTGCCTGCATGGGGATATCCCCCAAGGGGTCCTTAGCGCTGCTGCGAAAGCAAGAGAGGCTCTCACCACTGCGCTCAACAGCCGTGAGCCTGGCTTCTGGCTGAGTGGTGCTCCCCCTGTGTCAGTGCACTGACCACCAGGGGGCAGTTCCTGCATTAAACATATGCCTCCTGGTGGTCAGTGCACATCATAGTTTTTATTATATATAATAAAAGGCTAATATGCAAATCAACCAAAGGGCAGAACAATTGGTGGAATGACCAGTCACTATGATGAGCACTGACCACCAGGGGGCAGACACTCAATGCAGGAGCTGCCCTCAGCCTGCAGGCCCCAGGCCAGCCAAGGCAGGTGCCAGTGGGGTTCCCCCAATCATCCCACTGATGGGCCCTGATCGCCAGCCAGGCTTAGAGACTCTACCTGTGCACAAATTTCGTGCACCAGGCCTCTAGTATAGGATATGATAGCCTATGCGACCAAATAACCGGTCGACTGCACTCCCACAGTGGGAGTGCTGCTCAGCTGACCAGTGGGCACCAGATGCAGGGCTCACAGCTGGCAATGGCTGGAGCCTCTCCAGATCAGGACTGGCTGGCACAAGCCCGGAATGGGCACAGAGAGGCCGGGAGAGCGGGAGTGGCAGGCAGGAGCAGCAGGTGGTGTTGGACTGCTGGTTTCAGCCCAATCCCCACAGGTCACATCAAGGGACCCCCAGCTTCCACATAATTCCCCAATCCAGGGCTGGTGTCAAGTCTCTCTCTCTCTTTCTCTCTCTTTCTCTCTCTCTCTCTCTCTCTCTCTCTCTCTCTCTCTCTCTCTCTCTCTCTCCCCTCTCCCTCTCTCTCTGCCAAAATTCTCAGTGAAAACAAGCCAGAATTGAGCTAAGGACATGTTTACTTCCTCGGTAGTTTTTGGGAAGGGAGATAAAGAAACCTGGCTGGCAGTCTGTTTTTGTTTAAAGGAATTCTAAGACCCTCTTCCCCGGGATTGGTATTCGGAAGCTCCTATGGGATGAGCGGGAGGAAGGAATGGATTATCCCGCTGGCGTGACACGGCCATGACTCGTCACCTCCACGAGGCAGGAGGCCCCCATCCCGGGCCTCGCTCCGCGGGAAGCACCGTGGGGCCTGTGAGAGGCGGGTTCCTGAGCCCCGGGGCCTGCTGCCAGGTGAGTGTCTGGGAGTGACCCCAGGAGCATGCACATCAGCCAGCACCTCCTGGGCGCTTGCACAGTCTACTCTGAGAGGCCTTCCACCACAGGGAATTCACTCACGCTTGGTGTCGTTGATCTGTCACCAAACCCCAGCTGTCACTTGTTGATGCATGGCTTCATGGCACAATGTGCACATGTGCGTATCCGTGTTGTTTAAAGCGGCACGGAGCTGCCTGGTCTCGGGAGCGGAGTTGGGGATGAGGTGCCCCCTTGGTGCACCACAGGCCCAGCTCCTCCAATGCACTCCCTTAGAATGGCGAGCCTCTTGGCCTGCGTTTTGCCATGCAGATGTTTTAAAGCACACAGAGCAGCAGGGGACCAGTGGGTTTTGTGTGGAGGGGGAGACACTCTTTGGTCTCATCACTCAGGATGTGCCTCTGCTGCATAGCTGTTAATCAGCTTTAAGAGTGAAAGGTGTCCGCTGCGGCGTCTGCCAATTTCCCGGTGATTGCGGCACAGCCCGGCCGCGCCGGTGCTGCCCCCGCCCTGGCCGTAACCCGGGGTCAGTGCCGTCCTTACCCGCGTTCCGGACGGAGCCGTTCAGCAGCGCCACTACCGTCTTCAGCATCACATCCGTCAGCTCTCGTTCCGGGTCCCCAGCACCGAGGGCGGGCTCCTTGTTCCCTGAAACATTGAAGAAGCAGTAGAAAAAGTTAATGTGCATGGAACGACCCCAGCTCTCTGACTGCATCGGCTTCCTGTCCTCTTAAAGAAGGGTGAATCTAATGCTTCCATTTCAGAGGCGTGTGCAGCCCAGCTGAGAAGATGCAACCCTGCAATCCCTTAGGACAATGGACACCACACGGAAATCTCCTCGGGCTCACTGCTGGAACCCAGGAGCTGGTCCCACCAGGGTTTCTGACTCAGGAGGGCTCGAGTGGAGTCCTGTCACTGTTCCTAACCAGTTCCAATCGGTGCTGATCGGCAGGCGTGAGGACCAGGCTGGGAGAGCCACTGCTCTGCGCATCCCCGGAGCCCTGCCCTCTTCCCATGCTTTGGACACATGTAGCGTTTGGCATCCGTAGCGGAGAGGGCCGCCAGCTCACACCACAGGCACGAGGTGCGTGAGGGACCGCAGAGCGGCCTGTCCCAGAGCTGCACGGGGCACACAGACCTGTGCGCTCACCTGAGTCCCCAGAGCCAAAGGGCCTGGCGCAGGAGGGACGCTCGGTACATATCTGGGGAGGGAATGAATGAGTGAAGGCAGCGCTTATTAACTAGGAGACAGAGCCTCCAAGAGCCAGCGAGAAACGTAAAGAGAGGCAGAGGCAAGATCAGATGCATCCGCTCACAAGAAGGCTCGCCTTCTCCTGGGAGGGGCCGTAGGCCTGGGGCCGGGTTTAGGAGTAAATCCGCACCAGGCTGCTGGGAAGCAATCACAGCTAAGCTGACACAGAAGCACTGAACGCCAAGAGCGGGAGGTACTCTTTGGCCTCATAATTTAGGATGTGCCTTTGCTTCAAAAGTGATAGAAAGAAGCACATACAAGACTCTTGGAGACCCGGCTTGGGGCCCAGTTATGCCCAGACGGGGCACCTGCTCCTCAGCCCCACATCCCCAGGAGGCATGGTCCTTCCTGGACTCCACAGGGTGGGAGTTCCTCCTGGCAGGTCGTCTGTCTCCCATGCACAGCACAGGGTGAACAGGGATAAGATGACTGACTTTCTTGAGTACCTACTATGCACCAAGCACGACATGGCTCCTTTTCAGGTATTTCTCACTGAATTTCCAAAACAGCCATAGGTAGATAGACAGACAGACAGACAGTTCCACGTTACAGCAGAGAAAAGAGGCTCATAGGAGCTAAGTAATGTGCTCAGGGTCACTGAGCCCAAACACAGCACAGCAGGTTCCAGCCCCGTGATGGCTGGCCCCACGCCCACCCACTCTCCCTGAGGGTCTTTCCCTCAGAGAGGCCAGGAAGCAGACAGACTATGACTGTAGCTTGAGTCTGAGCACAATTCCAGAAGGGGCCAACGGCTCGCAACCCGCTCCTTCCCAGCTGGGCAGTAGGAGAAGGAGTAGAGGCCAGAAGTGGAGCAAGGTCAGCGACAGGCTCCTGTGCCCGGAGCCGCTCCAGGCTGCACCCCCAGAGGGGCCACTGTGGGCAGCTGAGGGAAAGCCAGGGAACTGATGTTCATGCTCTGATTCCCGTCTGGAAGCTGGCAGAGGTGGGGTTGCAGGCAACCAGAGTGGCCCCAGCAGTGGGCGCCATGGGGTGCGGTCAGGCAGGAGGGAACCCGGGCCCGCATTCCTGCACATGTCCTGCTGCACCACAGGGTCCTGAGGTGCCCGGAAGGAGTGGAGGTGCTGGTGCTGAGAGTCCAGAGGGTAGGGGGGCGCAGGGAAGGAGCCACGCCAAGGAGCCGAGGGCACACAGCGCAGCAGGCACCCAGGTGTGGCCAGAATTCAGGGGGCAGCTGAACAGCAGGACCTCTGCTCCCAATGGGAGACCACCTGGCCCAACAGCACCCAGTGAGCAAGGCGGCCGCATCAGTCTCCCTGGCCAGGCCCCATCTGAGCCCCACACCCACTCGCTCTCCCTGAGCGTCTTTCCCTCAAAGAGGCCCAGCTCTGAGCTCCTTTCCCTTTGTCCTCCCCCGCCACCTCCCCAGCTCCACGCTCAGGCAGCACTCGGGGAGGAAATGTCTGAGAGCTGAGAATTCACGGGCCTGAGTTAGCTCCATGAGTCTGTTTAAAACCACACCATCCTGCCCTGGCCAGTGGTTAGCGTGTCGGCCCATGCACCAAAGAGCCACAGGTTCAATTCCCGGGCAAGGGCATGTACCTGGGTTGCAGGTTCACTCCCCACTCTCCTGGCTGAGGCACATGCTGAAGGCAACCAGTCAATGTCTCTCTCACATCAATGGAATCTTTCTCTTCTCTCTCTCGCTCTCGCTCTCGCTCTCGCTCTTGTTCCCTTCCTGCCTCCCTCCTTTCCACTCTCTCTGAAAAGCAATAGAAAAAATACTCAGGTGAGAATTAACAACAACAACAACAAATTACCCCCATCCCCCTCATCTCTCCAGGGGAAGTCAGGCTGGTCATAGGAGAGAGGGAGGCTGCTGCCCTGTGACGTCTATGCCCGGGGCACCTTCCCAGCTTCCTCGGTGAAGCTGCTGAGCGGCTGGTGGGCCTGCAGAGCTGGCCCAGCTAACGGACGCCCAGCCTGTCCCTTCCCCTCCCAGGCGCCTGCACACCTGACTTCCTCAGGACCTTGGCCCGCTTCCGCAGCTGGGCCAGCAGCAGGCCCAGCAGCCCCGAGTCCCGGAAGATGTCTGTGAAGAGCGGGTCGGCGCCGGCGATCCTGAGCACGCTCCGCAGGGCCCGGAGGGTGCAGAGCGGCTCGGAGCCATCCTGGACCAGGCGCTGCACCTTCCCCAGGATCTCGTGGGGCACGTAGCGCAGCTCGAACACCAGGGCCTCCAGCAGCTGGAAGAACTGCGTCTGCACCGGGGCCGGCTTCAGGGGCACCAGCTCCACGAACTGCGAGATGGGCTGCAGCGTCCACTCCAGCAGGAAGAAGTTACGGGCGTTCCAGGCCCACATGGTCCTGATGGCCGAGAGCACGTGCATGCAGAGGAGGGCGTCGCTGGCTTTGAGGAAGACGTTCTGCAGGACCTGGAAGGCCTGGAGGTTCTTAACGGTCACCCCTGCAAAGGGAAAATCCCGCAGGTCACTTCTCCTGCCTCTGCCCGAAATGCAGATTGCCTCTTCACCAGGAAGCACCGCTTCAGGGTTCTACTTTCTAGCTCCTGTGGGTAAAGCCTATCGGAAGGCCCGAAGCACAGAACGTAAGGCCTAAGCTGGGGGAAGCACTGGGAGGGGCACTCGCGTGTAAAAATGCACTGGTTTCCAAGATGCAGCAAAGAAACAATGCAGCAAAGTCACTAAAGAGTTATTTGTAATGACCACCTGTTGAAATAGCAATACTTTGGGTATACTGGGTAAAATGGAATATGTTCTGAAACATAATTTAAGCTGTTCTCTTTTTTTTTAATAAGGCAACTCAGACATTTAAAATGAGGGAATGCAGCTCACATTATATTTCCACCGGGCAGCTCTGGCTGAAGGATTGGTTTCAATCAATAAAAATCAAATTGTTTTAAACATTACTGAGCGAAGTCTGTTTCACTTGCAAACAAGCTGTTGAATAAAGACACCTCCTGACACCCCTTCTCCCCAGCTTGAAGGTTATTTCTGTTCCCTCTTGCCCAGGGACACCTCCTCTGAGACCCCCCCGTCTGCAGCCAGCCCTGCCTCAGACACCAGGGCCCTCTCGCTGGTCCAGACACTTCCCTGGGAGCTGGGGTCCTGTCCAGTGGCTCTTCCTCACCTTCCTTCCCTCCACCTCCCGCCTCTGCACTCTGCACTTCGGACTGCTCAGGCCTCCGCACCACTTCCCCAGATGCAACCTGTCACTGTCTACTTCCCGCCTGTGCTTCCTGCTTTAACCTCTCCCCTTCCTCTGCCTGCACAGCCACGCGAGGCCTGTGACCCCACCTCTGCGCAGGGTTTCGTGACTCAGACGCCCACCCACCACTAATGTCACCGCTGCCCTGATGCTGTCATCAGTCAGGTTAGGCACATGGTCACCGAGCAGGGATGGCCGCAGGCATGTGTGACCGTCCCTGATAGGATTCTCGGGGAGTGGACACCTGGCACCCAGCTCGGGGCAGAGAGTGGCCGCAGAAAACACCGCGTGTCCCCTGAGCTCGTCAGTAATGCGGGCATCGCCGAGAGCCGAGCAGGCAGGGACCTGAGCTGGTGACTGTCTCATCTGCAAAGGCCCTGGCACCAGGGACAGCGAGGCCAGAAGCTCCGCCCCTGCTTGAGGGTCCTGCCTTTACTAAGCTTCCCTGCACTCTAAGTCCCAGGGCATCTAGAACCCTCTACGAAGGAGAGGTTTAAATCCACAGAGCGTGACAGAGCTGGGCCCGGGTGTTTGCTTCTTTACAAAGGCCGGGTGGAGGCCTGTGCAGCCTGTGAGGGCGCAGCGCACCTGCGGGCTCCCTCCACCCAGGCCTCCCCCCCTCCCCCGCAGGCCTCCCTCCCCAGGACCCACCGGAGGCCTCCTGGTGGAACTGGAAGCCCTCCAGCTGCGGGTAGGTGACGCTGTCAAACACCTTCAGCTCGGCCCGCCCACAGGTCGTCAGCCACACCACCAGCTCCAGCAGCGCCTCCAGGTGGGGGTCCGCTTCGCGCAGCTGCAGCCCGTCGTACCTGCAGGGACAGGAGGCGGCTCTGGGCTCAGGGACCGAGAGCCACGTGTGCTCCCGGGCTGCTCACTGAGGTGCAGAGGCAACGTGACGGGCGTGCTGAGAAAGACCCCGAAGGTCTCCGCCAGTCAGCACCCCGAGGTGAGGGAGGTGTCTGGGTGAGGTTCAGCTTCAGAACAGAGACAGCCGCAGCCTCTGCTCACAAGGCTGCTTTCCGTGGCCGCACCCCAACACTCACTGCTTTGGTCAGGAGCACCCCACAATGAGACTTCATATTTCTGAAGAGCAACAAAGGAACGCCGAGGAGAGGAACCCAACTCTGCCAGGCCTCGGCTGCTGACTTCCAGGCTGCGTGGATGGGAGGGGCACTCTCTGCAGAGGAGGCCCCCTAAGCACCATGACCCCCCACAGTGCCCCTGAGCATCTGACAGCCCACAGGAGGTGCCTGAGCACCTTGACCCACATAAGGCAGAACGGAAGCAGCGAGCTGCCTCGGGCCGTCCTGACTGTCCCTGGGACAGCTCCTTCCCTCCTGCCCGCCACGGGAAGTAAGGCACCAGCCACCATTTAACCAAAAATGTCCAGGAGCTGCTGTGACATAGACCTTCCTGGTAGCGACAGCCAGTGGGTCAGGCTCAGCTAAGGTCAGAGGGGCCTCACCACGGGGACATTGTCCCTTTGGTGGAAAGCCCTCTGGCTGTCCTTCAGTCACAGCCTTTGGGAGACTGCACCGGGGGCTTCACCGCCAGACAGCAAGCCCCGCTCAGCGGAGGGCATGAAGCACGCGCAGCGGGCCGTGCCCTGCACAGGAGCCGCTCACACTCAGCAGAGCCGGAGCTGTGCAGCAGCTCCCTGAGACCAGTAGCGTTTGGAAGTCCACACCTTCTGATTTCCACGCTTGGCTTCTCCACTCCCTGCCCCAACAGGAAGATGACGTGCCCGTCATAATAGAACAAGCCAGCTGAGTGCGTCCTGACCCAGTGGAATGGTGTCTGCGTTTGGCTTCCCAGGGACTTAGGGGTCCAGGGTTTAAGGGTGAGGAGGGAGAAGCTCTAGGAGGCAGAGGAGGCAGCAGGGAGCGTTGTGGAGAGTCCCATCAGCAATGGGAGCCAAGCCTCCTGGGCTCTGAGGGCAGAATGCCAAGCTCCCCTCTCCCCACCCCACAAGCGGTGACTTTGCTGGGTGTTTATCCATCGGCTTCTGCCATCACATGTTGAGGACTGCTCATGGGGGCACATTCCCGGCACTTCCTGCCCTCAAGCACATGGCAGCGCCCATGGCAGCCGTCCCAGTCCCAGAAGCCCTCCAGCCCCGCCACATGGGCTCCCACAGTGTCTGTCGGGTGGGATGGCATGGAAGTGAGGGGAGGAATAAGGGGCAAGTGCCACCAGAGGGACTAGGCATACTTCTCACCACCAGCCACTGGTTCTCCGCGGGAGTGGCTCTGGCTCCCAAGCCCACTGCACGTTGAGTTACTTTTGCAGTAAAGCGCTCTCTGGCCGTGCTGTACACATGTGCATTTCAGACCCTCTGGGGAGCCCCGACTCTCTCTCCGAGGCCCCAGTGATTCTGAGGAGGAGGTTTGACGGAGTCCCCGCCAGGCACAGCGCTTACCGGAGGAGCACTTTGAGCAGCAGAGGGTAGCCCTCCCCGTTCTCGAACTCCAGCAGCAGAGCCTGGGAGACGGGGTAGGAGTCCTTCACGAAGCCCAGCACGAGGCCCACGGCCTGGCTCAGCTCGGGGGCGGGGAGCGAGTCCGCCAGGCGGGAGAGGTTCTGCAGGCAGAGCTTCACGCAGTCCGTGGCTGCGGGAGGAAATGCACAGCGTGCTCAGAGCGAGGCTTTCCTGCTGGTCATGCCCTCCACCCCTCTCTGCCCCTCCGGACAGCACAGCAAGATGTGAATTAATCCAATGCAGTTTTGTTTTGCTCTCAGAACAAGAAGAAGACTCCCCCAGGGAAGCGCCATCCTGGAAGCTGGCTCTGCAGGGCAGACAGGGCTGAGACAGGAAGGAAGCCTCTCAACCTTCTGCTCCCCCCTATCCTGGTCCCCCAGCTCCAGGGAGGGCTGGGTCGCTAGGTAAGAGACACCAGGGAAAGCAGCTCTGGAAGTGGGCAGAAAGCCACCAGGAGAATGAGGGGGGTATGGGTGTATATGGAGAGAGGGGCCAGAAGAGGGTGGGTCTCAGCACTAGAGTCAGGGGCGGAGCCCTGCTGCAGGACACGGAGGTGGATAAGCAAGGCTGCTGGTGGGGCCCGACCATGCCGCTCAGGGGAGCCTAGGAAACTTGCATTAGAAGAGAAGTGTCCCTGGGTTTGCACTGTGACTGATCATTGTTTTTATGGCTCTTTCATGGGGAGAAGTTTCTTCCAAGTGTGAGAGTCAAGAGGAGTGCCGGAAAGTAAGGGAGAGCTGAGGACGTGAGGAGAGCTGAGCACATGAGGGAGAGCTGAGCACGTGAGGGAGAGAGGGAGAGCTGAGGACGTGAGGGAGATCTGAGGACGTGAGGGAGAGAGGGAAAGCTGAGGACGTGAGGGAGAGCTGAGGACATGAGGGAGAGCTGAGGACGTGAGGGAGAGCTGAGCATGTGAGGGAGAGTTGAGGACATGAGGGAGAGCTGAGGATGTGAGGAGAACTGAGGACATGAGGGAGAGCTGAGCACGTGAGGGAGAGAGGGAGAGCTGAGGACATGAGGGAGAGCTGAGCACCTGAGGGAGAGAGGGAGAGCTGAGGATGTGAGAGTTAGAGGGAGATCTGAGGACGTGAGGGAGAGCTGAGGACATGAGGAGAGCTGAGGACGTGAGGAGAGCTGAGGACGTGAGGGAGAGCTGAGGACGTGAGGGAGGGCTGAGGACGTGAGGGAGAGCTGAGGACGGGAGGAGAGCTGAGGACGGGAGGAGAGCTGAGGACGTGAGGGAGAGCTGAGGACGGGAGGAGAGCTGAGGACGGGAGGAGAGCTGAGGACATGAGGAGAGCTGAGGACGTGAGGAGAGCTGAGGACGGGAGGAGAGAGGGAGAGCTGAGGACATCAGGGAGATCGCCTACCCAGAACCTGAGACCATGACAATGTGTGCTCAGTCCCTGGTTGGGAGTCCTGGGCTGCACCAGAGAGTCGGCATGTGGACGGCCACGCCTGGAATTCAGGGCTGGGCAGGAAGCAGGCAGCCCAGCTCTCCCTTGCCCACCTTCTCCCCAGCTTAGGAGCCCACAGAGCCGGCCCATTGCTCACAGGGGTACAGACCCATCCAGTGGCAGGCTCCTCTGAGGCAGGATCTTTCTTTTCAGTTTGAGAATAAAGACACAGTGAAGACCCTCCCACCAGGGTATGCAGCCTTTTCTTGGCGCCAGCGCCAGCCTGTGAGCAGAGTGGGGGGACTACAAAGCACCTCGGCCCCGCTCAGCCTGGACATCACCGCTGGGCCCGGGCCTCACGGGAGCCTTGCACCCGGAACTGGGGTGCTGTTTCCTGTGGGTGCTGCCACAGTGGGAGGGAGGGCTTTCTGAGCTTGGCCAGCTCTCACCGCGGGTGCCCTGTCACAGGAGGCCCCAGAAAGAAGACTGACCACAGGGCACGTGATTGGGGACAGGCAGGTCACACTGGCAGGTTCGACCTACTTCCCAAAAGTCAGCACACCTTGGGGTCAGCCAGGGGATGGACGGCTGTGCTCCCAAGAGGCACTTCAGCTGGTGAGCTAAGGAAGCGCTGCAGAGTGGGTAGGGAGGCCAGCTCAAGGAGCCTTTGTCAAAATGCCCCTCGGGTGAGCCTGGCAGAGCCTTCCTTCTGGCCAGTCATGGAGAGGAGGCAACACCCCTCCCGAGACGTGAGCCACGGAGGCCATGCTTCCCAGAGTTCTCAGGGAGGAGGCAGGAGACAACTGGTCCTGCTAACGGAGTTGGTGCCCTCAGCGCCCTGCCTTGCTTGCACCCGGTGGTGACACTGTCTTGATGGCCCGGGGAATCCACTGCATGCCGTGCTATCTAAGCACTTCAGATATGTCACCCACCAAAGCGTCATTTAGGGAGCTCGGTGGGCCTGTCATCCCACCTTACAGACACAAAGAGGAGGCCCCGAGGTCACTCCCCGTGAGAGCAGGACCAGTGTGCATCCCTGTGGCTGCCCCGAGAAGCAGAGGCCCAGGCAGCGGCCTCTCCAAGTCTAAATCTGATTCTCTCCTTGGAAACCCAGGAGCCTTGGCAAGTTCTTCAACATAGTAATCTGCCTCCCCGTTGCAAGATGGCACAACCGTTACCACTCATCTCCAAGAGACAGATGAGATGGCATACGGATGGCCCGGCACAGTCTGTCTGACAGTATGTGAGCAGCGGATGGACTGCCCTTCCCCCTCCTCCAATGCAGCAACCAAATGAACAAGAGCACCTTCATGAATGGAACCGAGCATACCTGTTTGTCCTTATTATTGTTGGTCCCAGAAATCTGCCCTGATGCTGCACGAGCATGGCAGGGACTTGCCGCGGGCCGTGGGCCTGGGGACTCACCCTGCAGGTACTGGATGACGCCGAGATCCTGGGCCTGGGAGATGGCCCGCAGCACGCAGAAGGTGGGCTCCTTCCAGAAGCAGCAGCTGTGCTCGCGGAGGCAGGTGGTAGCGATCAGCAGCGCCTGGAGCTCAGTCCCTGCGAGGAGGCCTGCCAGCCCCTGAGACTCGCTGCAGATGTTGAGCAACATCTGCAAGAAAGAAGGAGGAAGACCGGGGAGACCATTAGAGCCTCCTTGCTGCAGTGGGCTTGCTCCCACTCCTACAGAGCACTGCGGGCACGTGTCAGCACGGAGATGGCTTTGTATGTTGTCAGCCCTGCCCAGTCCAGCCTGGTCACCAGTGCCACCAGCGAAGGGCGAGGCTCGGGCTGTCTGCACTCTTACCCGCTGTGAAGGCAGTGCTTACTCTTCCCAAGTCGGAATGACGAAGAAGTGTTGGACTTGGATGGGTGACTTTTAAAATAGAAATGCAAGGAAAATGGCATCAGCCCTCCAAGTACAGGGTTCACAGGGCCCTGCACTACTTGAAAAGCAAGGTGCAGCCTGGCTAGTGTGGCTCAGTGGCTGAGTGTCGACCTATGGACCAGGAGGTCAAGGTTCAATTCCTAGTTAGGGTACATGTCTGGGTTGCAGGACTGACCCTAGGCTGTAGGGGTCATGCAGGAGGCACCCGATCGATGATCCTCTCTCATCTTTGATGTTTCTAGCTGTCTCTCCCTCTACCTTCCTCTCTGAATTCAATAAAATATATATTTAAATAATAATAATAAAATAAAATAAAAAGCAAGATGTATCCTGAACCCCTGGTTAGCATTCATGCCCTACTTCTCCACACAGCCATGTGCATTGTCCTGTAATCTCCGGCCTGGGGCCCTGTCCAGCAACCCCGGCTCCTGTGGACTTGGGGCCCTGCCTGTGCACATGGGAGAGTCACAGCGGGCAGCACCTGCAGGGACTCGCCTTGCCTCCTCTCTCTTGGGCTCTTGCGGCTCTAATGGGACCTGCTCCCAGTTCAGCAGGTACAGGAGCTCCTGCTACGGAATGCAGGCCCTCCGCACAAGGATGGAGGCTGGCCAGGCGCCCAGGACTGGCTATAGACCCTGCATGTGGGTGTGGCTGTGCCCTTGGCTCAGATGACCATCTGCTGTTTGCCCCCACCTCCCCATCACAGCTCCACCCCAACCGCCCGCTCTGGGCCAATGCCATTCCCGCAGAGCAGCCTGCTCTCTGCTCCTGCCAGCCAGTCCCAGGGCCTCACTCCCAGCCCTGCCTTTGCCCGGCCTTTTCCTGCAAAGCACCAAAGATGATGGGTATGCTGGCTTCTTCACACGACTGTCCCCCACTTGCTTTCACGCCTTCCTGTCCCTGTTCTAAGGGGCTGTGCCAGCTGAAGGGTCCGTCGTATGGCCCAGAGCCGCACCCGGGAGGAACGTCATACGTCTTGTGGAATGAAGTTAGGACAGCCCTGATGAACGCAGGTGTGGCCTAGCGCTGGGGTGCACATTCTGAGCCTCCGGGGACAACACTGTGAAGACAGAGCCAAGCTCCCGCCCTGAGGGCATGTGGAAGCCACAGGGTAAAGACGTGTCCACCTGCCCAGTACTGTGTCCGGCCACATGTGGGATATGGTTCCATCCAGGCCAATGGGCCTGCTTGGCCAGGGTTTCCCACGGGCAGTGAGCGGATAAGCTGCAGACTGCTGAGGACTCTGGCAGCGATGCCTCTGGCTTGAGGATGAGTCTGAGATGGTCCATCTGAATGCAGGTGCCCAATAGGCAGCTGCACTTGGAAGTCCCCAAATGGGCTGGCACCTGCCTGGGAGACACTGCCCAGCCCCAGACACACAGCCTGCTCCCACCCTCACAGGGGCAGAGGCAGCGGTGTTTCCATGGAGGGTGGTCCCCGAAGGCGGAGGGCAGGGCTTGTCAGTGGGGGGCGGGGACTGAGGAAGCATCATGTGGAAAGTTGCTGCTGGCTGTCAGGGCAATGACAAGAGGAAATCGCACCTGCTCTTCAGTGGCCTGAGATGCTTCTGGGAGGAGGGGGAAGGTGGTGAGGGCCCGCTGAGTGTGAACTGGGAGCCAGATTCCCAGGCCCCTCCCGCCCCAAGCTCCTGTTTCCTGTGTTTGTACAGAGATGGGAGCTCAGCACTGGGTGCACAGCAATGCATGCATCCTGGGACAAAGGAGGTGACAGGTGAGAGGCCAAGGCACAGAGCCATGGCAACTGCAGAGAGCATATTGGCTAGTCAGTTATGCAAGTGCAGCTAGCAAGCGCATCTCAGAGGGAAAGTGGCAGCAACAGAAGGTTCCAGAGGCAGGCGAGGCCCAGCAGGACCCAGGAACGCAGACTGGTGGGCCAAGTGGAGAAGGCACACAGTTTCTGGGAAAGAACAAGGGAAGCAGGGACACAAAGGCAGGAGAGGAAAACCTGTCTCCCCAATGCCTAGGCCTCTCGCATTTGCAGAGTGTGTGTATGTGTGTGTGTTGGGGGGGGAGCTGGGCCTGAGCAGAGCAGGTGGGAGCAGCTCCCAGAGGCAGAGCTCGGCCCCAGCCCGGAGGGGCTCAGCCCGCTCCTCGCTCACCTGCACAAACATCCTCTGAACTTGAACATCGTCCTCCGAAGGCTGGTCCTCTTCCAGAGGAAAGACGAAGAAGAGGTTCAGACACTGCAGGAGCAGCGCTGGCAGCCCCGACGCCGCAACTCTGCCCAGCGCCTCCTGCAAGGGACGAGCAGGGCCGTGACCGGGCCGGCCCTGCCCCGGGCCAGGCCACGCTGTCGGCCTGAGTGGCTTCGGCCGAAGTGGGAGGAGGGTGAGTCACCTCCTCTCTCTGGGCGACACATCCTCAGTGAGAATGGGGACAGTCATAGGCCCACCTAGATGACTGAAGATTAGGGGAAAGTGAATCCCTGTGCTCAGTAGACGGCACATCTTTCCTAAGGTGGACGGTGGGGAGGAGGAAGGGAAGGACAGTGGGGAGGAAGAAGGGGAAGAAGGAGGAAGTGAGGGAGAGAGAGAGAGGGAGGGAGAGAGGGAGGGGAAGGGCTGGAGCAGAGTGGGCTGGCGGGTTCCCCTCATGTGGACACTGGGACCCAGTCAGCTCCCCTCATGTGGACACTGGGACTCTGTCAGCCCTTCACTCAGTTGCTTGCACCTGATATCAGGAGGGCATGGCTGATATCAAGTGCAAGCAACTGGGTGAAGGGCTGACAGAGCCCTGATTGCCTCCGTCAGATCCAGCCTCACGAGGGCCCATCCGGAAGCCCAGTCCCTGAGCTGCAGACAGAGAGGCCCCGGCCGGTGACAGGCACCAGCCTGTGTGTGCTGTGCCCGGGCCCTTTTCCACGCACCCACCTGCAGCTCCACTGGATCACTGTGGCTGCTGTCTCAGTGCACACCCGTGCATGTGCTGTGTGTGTGCATGCGGGGGTGTGTGTGTGCGCGCGCACACATGGGGTTCATCTAAAGCATGCTGTCCACACAGTTAGGAAAACCAAAAGGAGGACAGGCCAGAACCAGGAGCATCATGCTATGTCGGACCCCCTGCCCTAAAGGCGCCTGGCGCAGGCAAGGCCCAAATTCCTGAAACTGGGCTCTGCTGTGGCCCCTCCGGCAGATCTCCCTGCCATTGCCCCACTGGCCCCCCAGGCAGCTGCTCTCTCTCAGCTCCTGGTCTGGCTGTGCAGCAGAAAGCCGACTGGAGGTCGGTGATACTGCTCTGCTGGAAGCACCCTTCCCTCCTGGGAGCGGAGGCCGCTGCATGCTGGGCGCCTGGCCACCGGACGCCAGGGCTCCCGCTCCCAGGAAAGCCAGGAGGTCTCCCTGGCTAACTGCAGCCTCCTGCTCGCACCACACACTGCTGCTAAGGCTCCTGCGATGCCTGTGCCACCCGGACTGAGGGCAGCAGCCGCACTCTGCTCCCCTGCGGTTCCCGGTGCCCCGTGCTAGGCCCCCCACAGGGGGCGCGCCAGCAGCCGCATGCCAGGGCGTCTCAGGCCTGCCCTGCAAGGGGCCTCAGGCACTACTGCTGATGGCCAAGCCGCCAGGACACCAGCCTCAGCAGACCACCCAGGGAGGAGGAGCAGGCCCCTCTTCACAGAGGGAGGACGTGGCCTTGGCCAGTGCCCACTGTGCGCTCCTTTTCTCTGTCTCAGCAGCCCTAGTGCTGAGGCGCCATGAGCCCCACCCTCACATCAGCCACGCGGGCACAGGGAGAGCCGCATGTGCGGTCAGGGACAGGCAGGATTCAGACCAGAACCAGGATTTCAGAAGCCGTCCTAGGCCAGAGGGGAGCCAGGGGGAGAAAGGAGAAGCGGCTTCCTGGGAAGAAAGGCGCCGGGAGACACACCCTGTTCTGAGTGGAGGCCTCCGGCCGGTGGTGATAGCCAGGCCGTGGCTCCTGCACTTACCGAGTCCGTCCCCGAGAGCACGAAGGCCGCCTTCAGGAGCAGGTAGCCGTCCTGGTGTGCGTCCCGCTTCCAGCGCAGCAGCTGCCCCGCGGCCGACCGCGCTAGCTCTGACAGCAGAGAGGAGTGTCAGCGGGAGGTGCCGGGACCTGCCACCAGTTTGCCCTCCCCTGGCTCCACCGTGAGACCTGCCTTCCAGCCATTAGAGGACTTCCGCTTGCTGCCCTCCCCTGCCTGTACCCACTCTCACACTCTGCCAGGTCCCTCTCTTGGAGGCCAGCCCTAGCCCCCCCATAGACTTCCCACAGCCCAGTCTCCACCCCATCACAGCCCTCCATCACAGGGGTTCCTGCGGCGGCACTGGCTCAGGCACCTGCCCGGACCTCCCTCCCCAGCCCGCATCTGGCCTCCGCTCCGTGCCTGGAAGACTGCGAGTCAGGGACCCACAGCAGAACACATGCTCTGACCCGGGGTCTTGTCTCAATCAAGCTCTCCAATGAACACTCAGGTGCCTTCTATCCCAGCACTTCCTCCCAGAGCCCTGCCGTGTGTGTGTGTGTGTGTGTGTGTGTGTGTGTGTGTGTGTGAATGTGCGTGTCCTTCCCTGGAGAGCAGTTTCCTACGTCCCCTTCCCTGCCCCTGGTCCCTTTGGAAAGCATTTACTGACTGGAAAGCAGAAGGACAGAGCAGAGCCCGGAGGCCTTCAGAGTGGCTGCCCCCACAGGCACAGGACTGCTCTGCACTCACCCGCGGGCTTTCCCAACAGAGCCTTCTGGATCTCCTGGGCGAGCTGGCTGGACACTTCCCCGGCCAGCCCATGCAGACTGGGGAAGCAGATGATCCCCGCGGAGCGCTCCCAGGCCTGAAAGCACACAACAGCTTGGTCAGAGACGTCACAGCTATAGTCACCTCCCTCTCTCCCTGCCACCCCTCACCAAAGGCTCAATGCCTCCCTGTGCACCCAAAAGCTACTGCCCGCCTTCCCCCTCCCACTACACCCCTCCCCCCCACCACCATCCCTCATGCCTGCGAATCCCCAGCTCTCCACTGGGCTCCAACCCACAAACTCGCACTCCTTAAACCTCAGGCATGCTTCACCGAATGCAGTGCCTCGAACCCGCTGCACCTCCTCTCCCAGAGGGTCCTGGCCAGTCACCCAGCTGCCATCTTGGGAACTCCAAGAGGGTCTCTAGGCCCCTTCTCTCACCTTCCTCACCCCATAAGGTACTGTGTCCCACTGGTGCTCCTCTTTTCTGAATTTCCCCTGGTTCCTAGTTATCCTGCTTCTAGGTTGGCTCTTCCACCGTCTTTGCCCTTCCTGCTGTGTTCACAGGCCCAGTTCACCAGTCCTGGGAGGAGACCCCCAGGGCACAGTCAGAGAGGAGGCTAGTCCTATGCCAGGACTTGAGTTCAGGAATTCCCACCCCTGGTGCTCACCAGGAAGGCAGGGCGCCTTGGGCATTCCTGGTCACCAGTGGCCGCTGTAACATGCAGTTTGCTGGCCTCCCATTCACTGCACCCATTCATTAGCCAGATCAGTTATATTCCTGCCCAAAGCTCTGACCGGGTTTTTTAAACTGAGATCCTCCTTCTACTGAAGGTGAATAGGCATCAAACTCCGAAGAGAAGTCATTTCAGTGTGTTTCCTTGCTACAGATACTGTAGTTGTTAAAAATCCAAAGCCTTCACAAATCCTTTCTATATTAAAAGATGCTATATACAAAATGAGGAGGCAAGCCACAGATTGGTAGAACATATATGCAATACATAGAACTGACAAATCAATGATATCCGCTACAAATTTATCAAGTAAAGACAAACAGCCTGATTTTTAAAAAAACAGGTCAATGAAACAGGTCACTAATAAAAGATAACATAAATGGCAAATTACTGATGATTGGGAAAATGCAAATGAAGACCACAATGAGATAGATCACACTTTTCAAGTCGGTAAGAGGGGGAAGCCTGGCGTGTGTGGGTGAGGGCGAGGGGCCCGGCTGCCCTGCTCTGCTGGGGGAGGGGTGAGGAGGAACCTCTCTGAAGAAGCAGCTGACCAGCCGAGAACGTTATAGGTTGCGCATGTCCTCCACCCCAGCCCTCCCCCCTGCAGAAAGGCCGGCACCTGTGCACGTGGAGGCGCGGACAGGAGGTATGACTGCAGCATTACTAGTGATCGTGAAAAACTGGAAAAACCAGCCAAAACTGGTTTGGCTCAGTGGATAGAGCATCGACCTGTGGACTCAAGTGTCCCAGGTTCAATTCCGGTCAAGGACATATACCTTGGTTGTGGGCACATTCCCAGTAAGGGGTATGCAGGGGGCAACTGATTGATGTTTCTCTCTCATCGATGTTTCTAACTCTCTGTCCCTCTCTCTTCCTCTCTGTAAAAAAATCAATAAAATATTTTTTTAAAAAAAAACTAGAATAACTGAATGCTCACAGGTAGGATCACGGATGAATAATTGATGGCATATTTACTAGCATAGAAGGGCACCACACAGCACTGAGAACAGTGCAGAGTCAGTGTGGGTAAGCCCAGCACAGGAATGTGGGTGGGGAAAGCCCGTTGAGGAAGCATGTCAGGAGGTGGGCATAGCCAGGATGTGCATGTAGCCCGTGACCAGCAGGCAGAGCTTTCGCAGGAGAAGGGCGGTGAGGGGCGCCTGGCGCTGCACAGAGGCTTTAGTCTGTCTGAAATGTGCGATTCACTTTATGTTGAGCAGTGAGAACCTGAATATTCATTTTGTTTTTTAAAAAAGCTTTGCACCTGAAAATCGTTTTTTTTATTTTCTGCCCATAATCAGAGTTGCCTCTTTCCTCTATAAATAAAGAAGTCCATCAGAACCGCGCTAAGACCATAAAAATGCTGGATAAATGCCAAGCACTGCTGCACATGGTAGACCTTCAACAGATACTGGGTAAGGGAGCACGTGGCTATGAAACCCACAGTCTGCAGAGTGATGACCAGATGCATTGCGTGCTGGTCGTGAGCAGACGCTGGCCCAAACACTTAGCTGCGTTGTTTCCACGAATCCTCACAACAGCCTCTGAGGCCGGCATTGTTATTGCTCCCACTTCACAGAACCCGGAGCTGCGCCAGAGGCCCCGAGCACAGCGGAGCCCCAGCACGAGGAGCGGGTGCACCTCACCTGTCCTAAGAAGCATGCACACGACCTGGCTAAGAAATGTATGGCTTCCACCTGGGGACCCATAGCGCTCGGAAACTTAAATCCCTAAAAGGAAAAGTCAGTTCTTTGACCAGGAACTTCCGTGGTAAGATCATTTTCCTCCTCGGGAAAAATTCTATCTTCCTAGCCAGCCCTGCCCCTCCTCCATGCGCTGGCAAACCCCTCCACGACCACTTGCAGGCGACTGACTCAGAGCACCAGAGCGCCTGGAGCAGTGGGGCCCCAGGCAGCGCTACAATAAAGCAAATTGGGCCCCAGCGAGCTGAACGGTAATTGTACCCTCAGCCAGCTCCCCGGGCACACTGCTTCCTGGGACTCGGGGGCTCTTCTGGGAGCCGCCTCAACTCGTCCAGGCCGCTGGGGTGCTGTTCCGCGGAGGCAGCCACTTACTGAGGATGCCCTGGAGACCCCAGAGAGTGAAGGCAGCTTCCGAAGGACCTCAATGTTTTTCTCAAACTGGGACTTGCATGCTGGGAGAATATTGCTCAATATTTTAAAAACCTTCCATTTGCTCACATTATCTAAGCTGCACCACCACGTCTCGTGGAAGGAAGAGGGCGGAAACGAGGCTGGCCGGTGGAAAACAAGGAAGGACAAGTGCTGTGAGGAGATGGGAGAACCCGCTCTGGAATGCAGGCAGCCTGTGGGTCCCTGTCACTGCTGCTTCCGCCTCAGGCCAAGGTGCTCTGTCTTCAGGGCTCAAAACACTTTCAAGCCCTGACATGAATGCCCCTGCTAGTGCGTCGGTTACTCTCTCCTTTGTGAGTAAAGAAAAAGCCAGGAACTAACATTTTGTCAGCACAACCAAAATGCTGTTTTCCCAAATGGGACTAAATCATGCCCCAGGCCCCGCTCTGGGGGAGTAGATTCAGGTGGACAAGGAGGGGTGATGACCCTCACCATCCTCTCTGGACACTACACTTGGAAATAATATAATAGTTGGTCATCCTTGTTATTGCACTTAACGTTACTTACCTCTCACCCATGGGCAGCTGGGTCTATGCTTGGTTTCCAGGAGAATGACTAACCACACTAAATGGTATGGACTCAGCACCCCTGGCCAGGCAGTTAACCTCAGAACATGTGCCTGCGTACGTGCACACGTGTGCACATACACATACACACATGCACACACATTCTCCCTTCCAAGTACAATCACTCCACACTAGGAAATAAATATGTTCATCCTCATGTTGCCCACTGTTCTGCTCATTTATACAAACCACCCAGAATTGAGTGGCTTAAATAACAATCAGCCCTGGCAGGTTTGGCTCAGTGGATAGACCATGGGACTGCAGACTGAAAGTCCCAGCTTCAGTTTCAGTCAAGGGTATGTACCTTGGTTGCAGGCACATCCCCAGTAGGAGGTGTGCAGGAGGCAGCTGATCGATGTTTCTCTCTCATCCATGTTTCTGACTCTCCCTCTCCCTTCCTCTCTGTAAAAACATCAATAAAATATTTAAAAGTAAATAAATAAATAATAGCAATCATCTATTTGGGTCAAGGGCAGTGTTCGGCAGGCAGCGATTCCTCGCCTCAGCCAGCTGCGGCAGCTGACAGGGGCGGAGGGACCAGCTTCCAAGATGGGGCACTCACAGGGCTGGCGAGGTGGTGCCGGCTGTGGGCAGCGAGCGAGGCTGCAAGACCAGGGGCTTTGGATCCCCTCCACGTAGGTTTGTATGTGGGGCTGCTTGGTCTTTCTCACAACATGGTAGCAGGGTTCTAAGAATGAGTATTCCAAACGACAGGAGAAGCTACAAGGCTCTCGGGGTCTGGAAATGTGGCTTGTGCCTCATTCTATTAGCCACGCCATCACAAACCCACATGGCGTCAAGGGCAAGGACACGGTGCTGCCTCCCGAAGGCAGCGTGTGAACTCATCGGCAGCACTCGCAGCCACAGACTCCTTTTGTCTTCTCCATGTTGTTCCAGTCCCTGCCATCTGTTCCGGGCAGGGAGGAATTTTACACTAATTGCTGGGGAATCCCTAGCTCACCGCCTGCTCTCTCTCCAAGCATGTCTTTCTAAGAACTGTCTCCCACAACTGCATCTACAGCTCTAGCTGGCCCGTGGCTATTCTTATGGAATGTCTCTGTGCCCGTGAGGGCCTGCGGTGGTTCCCTTTGCCTCAGAGCAGACTCAACTGAAAGCCAGCAGGACCTGCCGTGCTGGCCAGGGAGATGCCTTCTCCTCCAGGTCAGCAGTCCAGAGGGGAAAGGTTCTGGAAGGGCAAAGCCCAAGGTTCTTGGCAGGAAAAGAATGGCAGTCCGTTCACCCCTCCTGAGAGCACTGGTTGGCCCACTGAGAAGGCGCTGGCTCTGTGCTATTCCTGTGTGAGGCCACCAACCTCCTCTGAGTCTCACCTGGAGGCAGCCACCCTCTCAGTCTGCACCTGGAGGCACAACCCTCCTCCCACCTGCACCTGGAGGCAGCCACCCTCCTCCCACCTGCACCTGGAGGCAGCCATCCTCTGCCCACCTGTACCTGGAGGCAGCCAGCCTCCACCCATCTGCACCTGGAGGCAGCCACCCTCCTCCCATCTGCACCTGGAGCTGGCCAGGCTACATGTTGCTCTGCACTAACCACTGGGTGACCGGGGCCACATTATGTAACATCTCTAACCCTCTCCTTGTTCATTTATAAAGTGGGATACGAATGGCACTCATTTCCCAGCGTTAGTGTGAGGGTTTGTAAACACGGAGCAAACGCTGGTTGAGTTAGAGCTGGGTGAGTCTTGCTAGCTGCAGCCCTGGCTGAGGCCTCCTCCATGACCTCCCACAGGGAGTGATGGGCGAGGAGCCTCAGAGTTCACTGGAAACTTGGTGTCTGACTCCTCCCCTCAGGGCAGCTCCCTGCTGAGGTTGCAGTGCTTTTTACCAAGTCAGCAGCCAAATGCTGAGTAGGCTCACTCCTTCACTCCTTCACACACTAAGTTGTTCTGGCAATGAGATGCTGGTACTAAATTTAATGTGTAACCAACCATATTGGTACCTGCCTAACAGCTCATGCAGATATACATGTGAACAATGGCAGGGGTGGGGGGACCAGTGTCCTTGCTGTGGGTTTGGAGGAGTCAGATATGAAAGTGAGAGGCTTAAGGGAAGTCATTTGGGGAGAAGATGCCTCTGGGGAGTCAGTTCTGCAAGGCACCAGGTCCAGGCAAGTGGCGGCCCCTGATGTGGGGCACACGTGACCCTCACCATGACCTTTCCAAAGCCCTACCTGCACATGGACCACCCCTTCTGTGATGGGTCTGATAGAGTCTGGCCCAGTGTGATAACATTCCATTACCCAGGGACATAACCCTTTCTGAGTAGGGATAACAATTCAAAAATTTCTTGTGTTCATTGTGTTACAACAAAGAATATTCCAGATTATCTTAATTTTCCTTGGGCCCAAAATGAAAAGAGCCAGGTATAGAGAATTGCAACCCATGAAATAAAGTATTCCAGGACTCTCTTAAACCAGCTCAGGTGTCTCTGAGCCCATTTGGGTCATGGTTTCGATGACAACCAATACATGCATAAGGCTTTGAGATCACTGGCCACATTCTTCAGGACATGGCATAACTTAAAGTCCTGATAGTTCCAAGGTCTTCATAGACAACCTTGAAGAACACTGTCCTATGGATGTAAAACCCAAATGAGAGCGGTTACAAGCCTGAACACAAGGATCTGTTCCAGCGGCAGTTTCCTGTCTTCATCTGCAGCTCAGCTTTTACCTGCGCTACACCTACACACCTCCTCCATCCCGCTTCTTCCCACCCCCAGCTTTTCATTAAGAGCGTGAGGGCACTGGCTCTGGCTCTGGCTTTAGTCAGCACTTAACGGAAATAGCATGTTTGTAGATATGTGGACTTAAAAAAATGCCAATGTTTAGAGATGATGAAAAGCCTGTAATATCCTACTTCTCCAGGGTTCCCAGAGGTGGATTCCAGGGGCCCTGAGGATGGCAGGTGTCCGTGGTTCAGAGAATCATAGTGACAAGTCCTCAGACTGCATATGGAGTGAGGGTCTTTGGAAGCTGGTCTGAAGGTCATCGGGATGGTGTCTGCTTCCATGTGCCCTGGACTTCACTATCATTATCTTATCCACGCTCAATCTCCTGGCCAAGTGCTACTCACTACCCTTTACAGATGAGAAGCTGAGGGTCAGGAATATTTCCTAACTTTGTCTTTGGTTGAATGCATGGGCCATGATGCCTGCAACTACCAGGACAAGGTTTGGGAAACCAAGGCCAATATCAAGGTTCATTTATAGTAGTCTCCTTTATTCTCAGAGCCCAGGCACTGGGACAGAGTCTAGATGCTTCATACACTTTTGTACAACAAATGAAGGAATTCTCAAAGCAGCGACCCGGAGGGCAAGTGAGTGCCAAGCTCTGGCTCTCAGACTCAGAGCACTTTCATCAGAGCTGGGCTGCCGGGCTGGGGGGAAAGACACAGCACGCAGACCAGCCCACACACAGCCGGGGCTCTCACTGGGTGGGGGAGGGAGGGAGCCTGCGCACGGTGCTCTTCTCAGAAGGCAACACTGAACACTGATCTGAAAACGGGTGAGACTGAGCTATCTCCCAAACACTGGGCTGTCAGGCAGGGAGGCTAGAAATGAAACCTGAGCCATCTGCTAGCCCAGGCCTTCTTTCCAGTACAGTCCCAGGGTCCCAGTTACCCAACGATGAACGGGGTGTACAAGTCCCAATCGGGGAGGAAAGCAATGACATAATGAACAAGTTTCTTGGCATGTGTGGTGTGTTTTTTAACAAGAACATGCCTTACTGTTCAATGCCTAAGTCATCTTTGGAAACCCTTAAATATTTCTGGTTAATAAGTTAGATGGAATGTTAGCAAAGGGGTTTCCAATAAAACCATCTGTCTCAGTCTATTTTTAGCATGAAAGATAGTCCATATTCTCTGCTCTTTGACTAGAGGTGTATTTTTAAAATATACGATATATTTTTTAATGATTTTTTTACAGAGAGGAAAGGAGAAGGACAGAGAGCTAGAAACATAGATGAGAGAGAAACATCGACCAGCCGCCTCCTGCACACCCCCTACCAGGGATGTGCCCGCAACCAAGGTACGTGCCCTTGAGCAAAATCAAATCTGGGATCTTTCAGTCTATAGACTGATGCTCTATCCACTGAGCCAAACCGGTTTCTAGAGGTGTATTTTTTAATAATAACTCAAAATCAATAGTCCAGTAAAAACTAGGTCTTCATAAAAGATGCATTTCCAATGGTACAATAGCCTTCAGTAGAGTCAACATGAGGCAGATCTCACCTCAAGGAGCTCAGTTCCGAGAAAACAAGGAAAAGCCTTGTGCTCATGCTGCCACCACCTGCCACCAGCTGCCACCAGCTTCCACCACCAGCTGCCACAGCTACCAGCCACAAGCAGCTGCCAACTGCTACCACCAGCTGCCGCCTGCTGCCACCACCAGCTGCCACTGCTACCACCAGCTTCCACCAGCTGCTAACTGCCACCACCAACTGCCACCAGCTGCACCACCAGCTACCACCTGCCACCAGCAACTGCCAGAGTGCCAGCCCAGTGGACTTGCCTGGCCCCTATGGCTGTGGGGGGAAGCACTGTGCATGCTCCCGCAGACTGCACCTCCATTTGCACAGTTGGCAAGACCTGGTGTTCTGGCACCTGAGGTTCTGGTCTGGCATGACTGGTGTTTGAGATGAACAGCCATCCCGTGACTCCTGTCTCCAGACACAGACTCCTTTCCTAGCTCCCAGAGGAGCTGTTCTCTTCTCTGGCTTCGCGAAGCTACTGCGGCTGAACAATACAGCTCCTCGCTGAAGGGATAACAGCACTCCGGAGTCATCTGTTCGCCCTCCCCGGCCCTCCCCTGCCTGGAGATGAGCCTCGCTTGACTCGTTATTGAACAGCACAGCTTCTCCTCTGAGCAGCCAGAGACCACTCCAATGATATGAAAACCAATCAACTCAGCTTCCAGTCATCCCACAAGTACCCCAGAGCGCCGTGTGGGGGTGCAGCGTCAAAAATAACAGCACTGACCTTTAGGAACAGCGGGAGAAGGCGCAGCAGGCTCTCCTGACGGTCAGCTGAGCTCCTGTGAGCCAACTGCTGATATTCCAGAAACTTCCTCTCTACGGTCTCCCAGAGAGCCGTGGGGCCCGGGGTCTGCACTCCAGCGAGGGAGTCAGATTGAGCAGCAGCAGGCCGGCCAGCCTGGGGACCTGGATCCTCAGCTCCGTCTTCAGCCTTCGGAACACCGTCTGCCTCCATGCCTCAGCAATGGGCTCTGCACTCAGAACAAAAACAAGATGAGAAGTCCCGTCACAGCACTTCCTGCTGCCGCGGGCGCTGGGACAGGTCCTGCGCCATTCAGCCCAGTTCCTACTGAAGCTGGTTCCTCTCAGAATCTGAAACCGGCTAAAATAGGAAGACATTTCAAAGAGATTCCGATGTGACCCACAGAGATTGACAGCCTATTATGGGCCGGGCTTTCTGTACAGATTCGCATGAGTTGGGCACTCTGATTTTCTCTGTGTGGTCAGGAAACAATGGGGCCAGAGGCATACAAGCAGCTGGATGTGTAGCTGAGATGTAAACTCTAATCCCAAAGCTTGTTCTTTTATGACCTGGTGTTTTTCCTCTTCCAAAAGACGGAGTGTAAACTATCTCACCAGAATTTGTAGAAGCAAGTGGTTCTATGTCTTCAATTATAACTTCCTTCCACCCCATGTGTCTAAAGGAGATAGCTTCTTCATTCTCAGCATTATTTGGTTCGCACTCATATTTTTAGAGTCTTTGTCCTCGAAACGACTTCTTGAACCCCTACCCTAACTGGAAAGTGCTCCTCTCAGTGTGAACAGGAGCGAGCTGTGCAAGCTGGGGACCTCGGGGCAGGAGGCACAGGGTGACAGCTGCCGCCGTCAAACCAGCCCGACTGACCCGCAGAGAGTGATGCGGAGAAGTCCTTTTTGTCTGTGTCCTTGGCTTTTCAGTTGCCACGAATGGCTCAGCACGGGAAGGTTTGTTTGCTGTGTGTTTGTTGAGTGTAGGAAGCTCCCAGATTGTCCAGCTCCCTGCAAGGAGCCCTCCCCCCAACCACAGCATCACCAGGCAGAGTCCCAGGAGCCCGGCCAGCAAACAGCAGCCACTGCTCACAGGTGGGGACCCGAGGGGACAGCACAGTGGGATCACCAGCGTTTTGCTCTGGGCTCTTTATTTTTATTTCACAGACGGTCATGGCAGTCAACTCAGGATCACGTGACCAGACAGACTAACCATCGACTCTTTAGAACTTTCTTGTTCTTTATGTACAAAACTCCATGCATCCCTGGCCCTTCTATCACACTACCTACTAGTCAAACCTCACTTTCAGAAATCACTTCCTTTTTACAAAGCCATGTAAGTACAATATTGAACACTGAGGAGGAACAAAAGATTGGAAAGAATATCAAGGTTGGCCACACCCAGAAAAATGGCTCCTGATAGTCCTGCTTCTGTGGATATATAGCTTACTAAAAACACATGTGAGGCAAACATTTTTTATTAACACCTTTGCTTTTGATGGTGGGTTTTCTGGGGAATTTATTTGTTTTCTATTCTGGGTTGACCCTTAGAAACAGATTGGGGGATGGGGGGCGCCTCACACTCCTCAGCCCCAGCACAGTCTCCTCTCTGACTTTGTTAGTTTATTCATTTATTCCTTGCCCCTCCATTTGCCCACCCACTCCCCTTTTCCCCACCCTGCCCTGGATGCACTCATCTCAGCTCCCTGAATGGCCTGCGTCTCTTCTGCCGGGCACTGCTGCACTCAACACTATCTTCAGGCCTAACCACGTGGCGCTGTGTTTGTCAACCTCATTTCCTCTGGCTGCTGCCCATGTTACAACGTGGGCATCACGTGCCTATTTGACTTGCCACTCTGCAGTGACGATGGCTAGATTACCCTCAATTCCCGTCCCGCACTGCTCCTGTCCCTCAGCCCCATGCAGGCCCTCCGGGGCCGATGTGGCTGGCTCTGGCTACGACCATGGGAGCAGGATGCTTAATCAGGATCTATACCTGCTCAGTCCAATTACGTGCCAGCAGCTAAGATGCCTCCAGAAAGCTAGCAGCAGACCACAAGCCCCACAGGGTAGGTGAAGGCGCCCTGCCATCTGGGCAGCTTTCTAACCTTGGCTAGCCTGACTGTAGTAAGTGGGCCCATGCTGTCATTTTAATTTGCATTTCTCTAACCTGCTGATGAGGCTGAGCATCTTTATATGCCTGTTAGCCTTTTGGATTTGCTCTTCTACAAACTATCTATAACCTCTGCTCAATTTCCCTTGCAACGCCTCCCTGCCTCAGTGTCCTGTCTGTACACAGGACAATAAGAGGCCCCTGGGGGGGCCAGGCCCATGGAGTCTATGCCCAGCCCAGTCATTTTTAGGTTGAGGGAAGGGCACTGCCTTGGTGCTGGCATTTACTTGTGTGGCTTCACTGAACCTTCCTGTCCTCCAACGGCTTTGCCCGCAGGGTCTGAGGCCTGGGTGGAGGGCTGTCCTCCCTGGGAGCCACTGCCGGTCAGCACTGAGGAGGAGCCCACCGCAGCGGCCCACAGTGTGGCTTTTGCTCCCCCCGAGAGACACCCAGACGCTGAGCTCCAACCAGGCCCTGCCAGTGCTCTGGGCCGAGGGAGGCTCTGAGAGGAGAGTTGGAGGAGGTGGAGAGAAGGCAGTTGTGGCAGGACTGAGAACTGGAGGCTGAGCCGTCCCAGGACTTCAAGAAAGACAAAGCCTTCCTCTCTGCCAGCAGCTGTTTCCCAGCGAGGGTCAGGCTGAGGGCCGGACCCCTGTCCCCGCAGCCTGCACTGCGGCCAGGCCCTGCTACGCACGCAGCCGCTAGGCAGAGCCCGCCTGGATGGCAGGCACATCTGGCCACTGTGAGGCCTTGACCAAGTGACTTCCCTCTGAACGAGATTCTCCTCCTCAAATCAGCCCTGGGCAGTTCAGCTCCCTCCCCCCGTTACCCCGACCCCCGCAGGACAACAGGACAGAGGCATGACCGTGAGTCAGGACAGAGGGGCGAGGGGCCCCAAGCTGGCTGAGAGCCGTGGGTGGACGTAGTGAGGGGCACCGGGTCTGTGCATTGTGATCAGGGCACCAGCAGGGGGTTTCCTATGACCTCAGCGATGCCAGGCTGGGAGTGGCCATGTGGGCAGAGCCCTCTGGTGTCACAGCCTGTCCTTGGCCCAGCCCATGCCAATCCCCCGCACAGATCTGCAGCATCCACAGCGCTCTGCTTGGAACCGTTTAGAGCGCCCAGGGCACCCTGCTCGCAGCCGCCTGCTGCAGGGTGGCATCGGAGTCTGAGGCAAGAGCAAGCTGCTGATGTTTGGGCACAAAACCAACATTTCTGATTCTCATCCCTGGCTTTCTGTGGAGCTCAGAGTGGAACCCCAGCTCCGGGCGGGGCCTCGGTACCAGGGGACACAGGTCAGAATGCAGCTTCCCGTTTCCCTTTCACTCCCTGCAGTTCCTCTCTGCACAGCCGCAGAGCCCACGTGCTCCTGCGTCAGTGGGGACCCGGCCTGGGCCAGGCGCTCAGAGGAAATAACAGCCTCCAGTTCCACCGGGCATGAGGGAGGGCCCGGCCTTCCTCCCCTCTGCCCACCATTGGTAGGACAGCCGTTAATAGGGGAGCTTGCACGCTCAGAGCAAACTGGAAAGGAGTTGGGAAAAGACAAAAGCTGGAGACACACGGAGGCTTTGCTCACGGCCACCCCAGTGTCTACTCCCTGAGGCCCAGCAGCTCTCACAGGGAGGCCTGGTAAGCCCGCCCTGAGGCAGCTCACCCCCAGCAAGTCCTCACAACAGACATGCTCAGTCCCTGTGGGGGGATGCACAGCCACGCCATCACCCTGCTGGTGGAGGCGCAGGCATTTGGAAGACAGAGGGCCATTTCTGAGAAAGCTGAACACATAAATTAAAGAGTTCTACTCCCATGTACCTGCTTTACAGGCATGGAAATGTATGCTTCTGTAAAAGCTAAACAGGAAGCTTACAGTAGATCCATTCATAGCTGCCCGAGCCTGGAAACAACCCAAATATCCCTGAGGGGAGAGAGGGATGCGTCTCCAAAGTATGAAGAACTACTGACCCCACAGCAGCCTGCGTGGATCAGGACAGTGCTGGAGCTGGTCTCAATGGCCACATACTGTCTGAGTCAGTTTATAGCATACCCTGGAGAAGGCAAAATCATAGGGACAAAAACAATGGTGAGTGGTTGCAGGGACAAAAGCATAGATGAGGATGATGGCAACACGAGGGTAGAAGGGAACTTCCTATATAATAAAAGGCTAATATGCAAATAGAACGAAAGGCGAAACAACCAAACAACTGGTCACTATGATGTGCGCTGACCACCAAGGGGCACACACAGAACATGACAGGCATTGGCAGTAGGTGGCAGAGTGGAGAACATGGCAGGCATCGGCTGCGGCGGGATGGTGGAGTAGATGAGTGGGGGTGCCAGACCAAGTGGTTGCTATCATCAGGGCGAACCTCTGGTGGTTCTGAAAGTCTTTGCTCCTGTGCATCACATCCCACTGCCAGCACCAGAGCCGCTGCTCACACCCACTGCTGGAGCCCAGCACCGGCTCTGATCACTTGGTGCCATCAGTGGGTGTGAGCGGTGGCTTCCAAACCAAGAGGGTTTCTCCACTTCCCCCTGCACCTGAGGGGCAATCAGGGCAGCAACCACCACTTGCACCCACTGCTCACACTGGCCCCAATGGCTTTGCACTGTCAGTGGGTGCAAGTGGGGCCAGCACTATCAGCACATGGGAGTGGTGGCAGTGGGAGCAGGGCTGCTGGCAGACAGGGGACCACAGGCCATGGAGGGAGGGGCTGGGAAGGGGTGCAGAGGATGAGCTGAGACCCGCCCCTGTGCCCACTGTAGCCTTGTGGCCCACAGTTCCTTTCAAGGGGCACAAATTCATGCACTGAGCCCCTAGTTTCTATATAAAAACCCAGGTGTGCAGCGGAGAGAGAACCACAGGGACAAAGGTGTCGGTGCCTTCACCTGTTTCTCTGCAGCATAAGAGGCGACACTGCAGATGCACACAGTGAGGACTCCCTCGATGAGTGCTCCTCACGGTGGCTCTGCATCCTGAGCTTGACTTTACCTCAGCAGCACTCACCCCAGGAGCAAACAGCAGGTGTCTCCGGGCACTAGGAGCAAGGTTCAGAGAGGTCCCTTCACTGCCCAAGAGGCCACATGTATGTGCGGTGTCT